TACTGTATGTTACCCACTTGTGGAATGGAAGAGAAAGCAAGTGAGAGTGAAGGGATTGGGATTCCACTTGATTAGGACCGACCCACTAATCCAATTCTTCCCGACCCGCCCCAACCTACAGGGTCAGAAAGAGTCAATAAGAAAATACGAACGGGGAGGATTAGTCATATATCTTGACTCTTCAGAAGTGGGTCAAACAAGATCAATGTTGGGTGAGGGCAATTTTTAGCGCTAAGCAGAGTTCTGGGTTGAATACCTTTACTTAGGCCTAGAAATTGATGCTGATGCAGACTAGTTTTTATTATACCATCATCAATCATCATTGAATTAGTCCTGGGCATCCCTCCCCGTTGTCGGTCTGAATTCTAATGATGGCTTCATTCCTTGCACCAGCCATATCAGCGAGTTGCCATCTCGAGCATGATTTGCATATGTACAAATAATACAATTAGAGTATGAAAATGAATTCAATGAAAAGGAAAAGAGAATTCTATCACATGCCAATAAATACACACATAATAGTTGAAGCTAAGTGAAAGTCATTACTCGCACATCAATTCTAAAAAATTACAGACTAAACATTGGCTAGAATGGCACTGAAACTACCAAGAATCATGGACGAAACAACTTGTCAAATTAAATAATCCTTATACTGAAACTACCTTCTAACTTGAAATAAGACATGATCACAGTTCATAGCTCTCTTCTCACTATGAATTGGTTGCAGCTCGTCCTTATCACTGCCTCTCAAGCTCAATTCAAACAGAATAGAGACCGTTATGTAAGATAACCATATTCTTACTGATCATAATTCCTTTCTTCACTCCATTTTTGTCGGAGAAAAGAGTTATCCCCCTCTCCTGCATTTCCCTTTCCCCCTCTCTTCTCCCTCTTCTTCACAAACCGATCCCTAAACCAGCAACAACAACACAAAAATAGCCTTCGCCTCTCCCGTCTCCATCTATTGAACGCGTTGGTGGCAAGACAGGACTGCAGAAGCAAAATTTTCTAAAATCAAACTAAATTTTTTGAAGCAGACACAACCACGAAAAAAGAGTAAAGCAACAATGCAGTAGAACCCTAAATTTAACTACAATCAAGCACATATCAGCAAGATTTTCGATTTGTCTGAGAGTTAACTACACGGAGAGAACAATTGATGCATAATTGAAATGCTCCAAGCAAGTTGAAGGCAAACCATAACTTTAGAATTTGGTCATTATAATAACCTTCAAGTATTGATGCTTCTAAGAACTATCATGTCCACCCCCCACTTATACAACTACGTAGCCATAGTAATTAGTTGTATAATGAGAAATATTACAAAGAAAACTACATAAACAACCAATGTAAGTAAATATTAAAACTAACAACTGATAAAACTTAAAATCTCTCTATTGGTATAAATGTATCTATTAGTAACTACTATGCAATCGAGTATATATGATTTTTAGGCACTGAATAAGAAAAGTATAGATGGTTAACAAATGAAGACGTAGCAACTGAAGGTAGCACACAACAACCAAAAATAGAAAAAGAGATAAGAAAAAAGGCGAGAAAAAGTAAAACAAAGAAAAAGCCCACATAGGAATACCTCGCTAGCTTTAGGGACTCTCTGCCACAACAAACAACCTTCTTAAAAATCTAACACCCTAAGACATCAAACAAACCTCCCACGACACTAATGTATGGCATTCCTATTGTCCAATAGGTTTGCCCAATTTAGACTTCTAAATAAATGGACTTTTCACCATTAAACCAAAACTCACAATCATTAACAGTTAATGCAAAGACATACATTTCTGAGGCCAATCACAGCATTTAAGCATAATTTTTAGTTGAAAAGAACAACTAAGTATTTAGCTAAATGATATAGTAGAATGGACACAATCTGCTACCTACTAATGATATAAACGTGTACCGGTACCATCGTTGTATCCTGACTTGCCATTTGCAACGGGCACTTTGAAAGACAGCTGCATTTTAGAGAATAAACACCCATAAGGGCGTTACGAAACCAAGCTTAATCCAAAATCTTCATATTCCACTTCGAAGACTCCATTTTCAAAAATAAGAGAGTTTAACATGTCAAATCACTCATTTGAAAAATCTCAAACAACTATTAATCAATGCAATATAAAGGCACGTTCCAAATTATGTACTTGTAGGAATAATCCCAAATAATTATCAATCAATGCCCCAACTACCTAATGTGCAGAATAGCCCTGGAGCTGTGCTGTTGTTTGCGTTGGTTTACCTTCAAACATAACATAGTTGCATCACGAACCAAAGCAATTAAGCAAAAATCTTCATATTCCAAGTAGAACTCCATTTTCAAAAATAAGAGAGTTTAACATGTCAAATCACTCATTTGAAAAATCTCAAACAACTATTAATCAATGCAATATAAAGGCACGTTCCAAATTATGTACTTGTAGGAATAATCCCAAATAATTATCAATCAATGCCCCAACTACCTAATGTGCAGAATAGCCCTGGAGCTGTGCTGTTGTTTGCGTTGGTTTACCTTCAAACATAACATAGTTGCATCACGAACCAAAGCAATTAAGCAAAAATCTTCATATTCCAAGTAGAATGACTCAATTCAATTTGGCCAACGCTTTATACATATTGTTTACCCCTGGACCTGTTGCACTTGCGCCTTCAGATCTTCGTGAACACAATACAATTGCGGAGAGGAGGCTGTCAACGGAATAAAAATTGTTAATTAAGTGAATCACCATACAACTAAACAAACGCGCTCTTCTTGATTAGCTATCAAAATAGTGGGGGTTGCTACAATCCATCGGTTGCTCCCTCTGCGCCTAAGTTGTAGATATTAGGTTTCAGTGAGAACTTTGAGTACATGAGGAGATATTTTGTAGTGGAGGAGATGACCCGGCGAGTAGAATAGGAAGATTTGGAGAGGCTGCGATGGGCAAAACAGTTAAAATCGAGATTTTACCTAAAATCGAAAACTGGGGTAAAATCAAAATCGTATAATCGAATCGTAAAATCGTAGGATTTTAAGTACCATATAGAACATAGCATATAAGAATATTAATAAGGTAAATTATTAATATCACAAAGACACATAGCATTTAAAATGATAATTCAGAAGATTTTTTTTTTCATAAGATAATTCTCAAGATTAATGTTCCAAAATCACTATTTTAATTGTTATTTAATGTGTAACTCAAAATAATTCATGATGAAGGGATATAGTTCATGGGTTTGGCTCTTATTTTCATGTTATGTCTAGGTTGTTTAACTCAAAGTAATATTTCGACATCGTCTACTAAGTATGATTTAAAACTAAAAATAATTGAACTCCAATAAAATAAGTAATGTTAGTGGCTTGGTACAAATATATTCATTAATAAATTAATTAGTTAATAATGATGTTAGTTCTTACATACTTACAATATTAGGACAGGTGTTTTACCAATAAGTTAAATGGGGTGAAGGGAAAGAGATTAACCGAACCCTAATTTGGTTATTTTTATTATTTTTGAATATTTTTCTAATAGAAAAATATCTGAGAAGATTCCATTGCCCTTTCCGCTGAAACAGTTATACTTATTTTAAATTGGCTCAAACCACCTATTTTGTTCTCTTACGATCAAAATCCCGATTTTGGTACTATTTTACGATTTTAACGATTTTAGTCACGATTTTAAACGATTTTAAGGTCCACCGATTTTATAGTAAAATCAAGATCGGAATCCCTAAGTAAAATCCTAAAATCCTACGATTTTACGATCAATTCCCGAATTTGACTGCATTGGCGATGGGTGCACGATTAGTGGGCCAAATAACAGTTTGGGCCCGTTTAAATGAAAACATATTTTTACTTTCGTGCTCAACAGACCGACCGCACTGGCATCTTCTAAATTTACCCCTAAAAAATTGCTCTGTACGCATCAAATTTGAAATGGAATCCCTCTTTTCTCATTTCACATTTCACATTTATATGATGTGTAGATTGTGATGAGTGTAGATGTAGACCTGTCATTGTCCTATAAATTCATTAACACGCCAAAAAGTGGTGAAATGAGCCACCCTATTAAACACAATCTTGTATAATGATCATTGGATCCAATCATGTCAGATTATGAAGAAGTTTAAAATGTAGCGGTTATCCCGACTAAAACATTAAAAGAACCAGTCTCATATAGTTTGCACAAAGATATAATTTCTCCATAGTAATTCTGAAAAATAATATTAATTTAAGAAGTCGATATTGCTTCTACATGTTTAATATTGCAATTCGATATGCAATATTCGAACCAGTGATATTTGGGCTGCAATTTTAGGGTTATTGTATATTTATAAAATAGATAGAAATTTAAATTAAGTATTAAACTTTAACTAAAATAATCAAAGTATTAAAACACCAAATAAGTACTTACGGGAGATTCAGTGGCCAACTAATCGTTAAAAAAGTCATATGATTTTCATAATTTAGGTTCGTGTATGTTTGAATTTAAATAGATACAACAAATATACTTAGTGTGATTGGTTATGATTCTTGCTTGCCTTTAAAGAGACCAAGGTTCAAATCCCAGTGCATGCCTTTTTTATGAATAAATAAATAAGAAAATAAGCAATTGTGAAGACCAAAATATCCTTCCTATAATCACTCTCGTTGCAGGAAATTTGAAATGGAGCAACAGTTTTCATCATTCGGCTTTTATTTATTATCTAGATCTAGACTAGATAATAGAGGCTTGCTAGTTGCTAGCCAGCAGTACACAGTACAACATATCAACCGTACGTCGTCGTTTACCGAACAAGACAGGAAAGAAAAATGGAAAAGACAATAATACCCTGATAATAAAACGACCAATCAGATCAGAAGGCCACCTGCTTATCCTCATGACTCATGTCTTATGCGCTGCATGTATTCATCACAATCATGATCAGTTTAGTGACACTCTGATCGGATCCTTTTTATTCTTCGTACTTAATTATTAATCCCTCGACGAGACGGATATATATTACACATTAGCTGCTGGGAGGCGGAGTGCCTTGCGTCCATGTATTTGATGTAGTAGAGCCCGAACCGGACCAGAGTACCCGTCGCTCCATTCGTAGTTGTCTGCGTACGACCACGCGAAGAACCCTTTCACCTTCACTTCCTTCTCACTTATCGCCTGGCGAACGCTGGCGAGATGGGCGTTGTAGAATTTGACCCTCATCGTGTCGGCTCTGGCCTCTGCGAGTGTCTGTGTAGTTTATACACAATGTTTGTAATTTCCAGCAACACAAACTGCAGAAATGCAATGTAACAGTGTAAATCAGAAAAAACATAATTGTAGAAGAACAGTTTTTGAACACAAATAGTGGCTGAGCTTCAGTGCATCAGATCCACTTTTCCATTTCGTTTTTCGATCTGTTCTCACACATTACACCAAAAGGAAGAGGCAGCAACCTTTTAAAGGCTCAACAACAAACCCTAGGTTGATCTGCAACTACTAAAACAAACAAACAAAAGCTTAAAGACAAAACCAAGTACAAGAGTCACTTTCAATGTTCCCCAGAAACAAAACAAGAAGAGGCATTGGCAAACATGCCCTTCACAGTGGTCCCTCAATATCCTTAGGTTCAATCCAAAGTTGCAGACAGTCCAAAACATCTTCCAGCTAGTTCCATCTTCATCTTCATCTCTTTCCTGCAAGCTTTCTCTGTTTATCCAGCAGCACTCTTCATTTCTTGTGCTCCAAGGCACAGATAGGTTGAGAGGGAACCACCTAGTGACATATTGCAATACTCCTCCTTGCCAATGCCACTGACCATTCCAATCATGATTTTCAAATCTTCAAACCTTAGTTTGTTCAGTGACTTGGTAAAAATGTCAGCAGACTGGTCTTGTGTAGAGCAGTGTTTCATAGAGATCAATCCTTCTGTTTCAGCATCTCTAAGCACATGATACTTGATTTTAATGTTCTTAGTTCTTCCATAGAACACTGGATATTTAGTCATGGCCACAGCAGACTGATTATCACACCAAATGACAGTTGGTTTAGTTTGCTCAAAACCCAAATCTGCCATGATTTTTCTCAACCAAACAACATGGTTGACAGCTTCTGAACCAACAATGTACTCAGCTTCAGCAGTTGACTGAGCTACAATGCTTTGTTTCTTTGAACTCCAGCAAAAGATTGTAGATCCCGGTGAGAAGGCAAAGCCAAAGGTGCTTTTCATGTCTTCAGAAGATCCTGCCCAATCATTGTCACAGAAACCCTCCAAACACACTTCCTTACCTTCTTCAAACTTCAGACCAAGATCAGTGGTACCTTTGATGTACCTTAGAATTCTTTTAGCTGTGTTGTAGTGGATTTGAGTTGGAGATTGCATAAACCTTGCTAGCAAACCAGAGGCAAACATTATGTCTGGTCTGGTTGCAAAAAGATACAACAGGCTTCCAATCAAACTCCTGTAGACCTTAGGTTCAAATGAACCTGATCCATCTTCTTTTGTCAATTGAATTCTCACTGGAAGTGGTGTAGCAACAGCCTTGGCATTCTCCATTCCAAACCTTTTAAAAACTTCATTTGCATACTTCTTCTGGCATATGAAAATGCCTTTCTCAGTCTGCTCAACTTGAATGCCAAGAAAGTAAGTCATCAAACCCAAATCAGTCATCTCAAATTCATTCATCATGCTGGTTTTGAAGCCTTCTATCTGCTTCACATTGCTTCCTGTGATCAGATGATCATCCACATACAGAGAAATCATCACAGTTCCAACCTCATCAGTTCTCACATAGAGGGTTGGTTCACTTGGACTCTTAGCAAACCCCAATCTCACAAGATAATCATAAACTTCTGGAATACCAGGCTCTTGGAGCTTGTTTTAGTCCATAGAGAGCTTTCTTCAGTAGGTAGACATGATCTTCTTTCCCTGGAATCTCAAAGCCTTCAGGCTGCTCAACATATATCTCCTCCTGCAAATAGCCATTCAGAAAAGCAGATTTCACATCTAGCTGATGCACTTTCCAGTTCTTCTGAGCAGCAATAGCCAGTAGGAGTCTTATGGTATCTAGCCTTGCCACTGGTGCAAAAGTTCCACCATAGTCAATCCCAGACTGCTGAGCATACCCATTAACCACAACTCTTGCTTTGAACTTGTTGAATGAACCATCTGAGTTTAATTTAATCCTGTAAACCCATTTAGTTCCTATCACTTTTCTTCCAACAGGCCTTTTAACTGGAATCCAGGTTTCATTTTTGTCAATCATTCTGCATTCTTCTTGCATGGGTGAGTTCCAGCCTTCATGCTTCAGAGCTTTCTGAACAGACTCAGGTTCTTCCATGGCCATGTTGCATCTTTCATACACATTGGCCACTGTTCTCATGCCTCTTACAGGCGTGTGATCATAGTTATCATGATCACTCTGATCATCTTCTTCAGACTCCAAATCCTAAGGTTGATCTTTCTCAAGAACATGGTCTTCATCAGCCTGAGGTTCTGGCTCATCATCTATATCTTGGTGATCTTGAAACTGAACTGTCACCAGATCATAGATGTTTTCAGATTCATTTTGAGGGGATGACCAATCATGAGTGACCTTCTCATAAAAAATGACATCCCTGCTCAATTGGAACTTCTCAGTTGTTGGATTGAAGATCCTTTAGGCCTTAGACTCAGTACTGTAGCCTACTAGAATCTCCATTTCAGACCTGTGATCAAGTTTGTCCCTTTTTGGAGCTGGAACATGAGAATAACACATAGATCCAAAGGTCCTGAGATGAAATAGACTTGGTTGGAATCCATTCCAAGCCTCATAGGGAGTCATCCCTTTAACTGACCTTGTCGTTAACCTATTGAGCAGGTAGACTGAAGTGTTCACAGCTTCAACCCAGAACTTCTTAGGAATATTCTTCTCAAACAACAGTCATCTAGCCATTTCCATAACTGTCATGTTCTTTCTTTCCCTTACTCCATTTTGCTGTGGAGTATACCTGACTGTGAGATGATGAAGTACACCCTCTGAAGCCAACAACTTCTCAAAGGCTAGAGAAGTGTATTCTTTCCCATTGTCAGATCTCAAAGTTTTAATCCTTTCATTGCTTTGATTTTCAACTAGAGCCTTAAATTTCTGGAATTTGGGAAGAGCTTCAGACTTTTTCTTCAGGAAATAGACCCAGTAGTATCTTGTCAAGTCATCAATGAATAACAAGAAATATCTACTTCCACCCCAAGATTCCATCTTGAAAGGCCCACATATATCAGTGTGAATCAATCCAAGCTTCACAGGAGCTCTCCAAGTGTGTTTCTTAGGAAAGGGCAACCTGTGTTGTTTTCCAAGCTGGCAGATTTCACACACACCTTCATTCAACTCAAGAGTAGGTAAATCCTTTACCAAACCCTCTTGAGCCATTTTAATCATAGTATGTTGACTGAAATGACCTAGTATACTGTGCCACAAGGCAAATTGATCATTTCTAGTCACTACAGTCAGGTTGGCAGTTTTCATTTTCAGGGCAAAACTCCTTTGAATCATAGAGAGATCAAACAGTTTATCTCCCTTTGAATCATACACAACACATGACTTGTTTTGCATTTCCAAAGAGTAACCCTTTTCAAGCATTTGTCCTACACTAAGCAAGTTCTTAGCTAGAGCAGGAACAAATAAAACTTCAGGGATTACCTTAAGTCCAAAGACAGTTTGCACTGAAACTAATCCTTCACCTTCCACAGATAGAAGATCACCATTTCCAATCTTTACTTTAGACTTGTAGGACTTGTCCATATCCAGAAAATACTCCTCATTGTTGGTCATATGATTTGTACAACCAGTATCCAGAAGCCAGTCCTCACTGCTGCTTGTAGTTGTGAAACAGGTAACCATGAACATCCCTTCTTGCTTGTTCTGTTCATTGACTTCTGCAACAACCACTTGTTCCCTGATGCTCTTGCTTTTGCAGACCTTTTCAACGTGCCCTAGTCTTTTACATGACCTGCACTGCACATTAGGTCTATACCAGCAATAGTTCTCAGTGTGATTAGTTTTCTTACAGATGGGACAAGGAGGATATACCTTCTTCTCAGTTGGTTTTTCAGTCTGCTCCTCCTTACCCTTTTTCTTCTTTCCAGGAGTTTTATTGACTCCAGAACTTTGCCCTTTTGCCTTTTGTTATCTTACAACCAAAGCTTCTTCTGAGTTGTCATAATTTCTGATGGAACTCCTCAACTCAGTTGCTTGCAAAGAGTTGATCAGCTGAGTTATGCTCAGTGTAGACAGATCTTGAGTTTCTTCCAGAGTTGAGATCTTAGCCTCATTTTTTTCAGGCACAATGACTAAGAATTTCTCAACAACCCTAGAATCATCAAAAGTTGCACCAAGAAGCCTTAGTTGATTCACATTTTTCATGATTCTATCCAGATAGTCCTTGATACTTTCACTTTCTTTCATTCTCAGACTTTCAAACTCTCTTCTCAGATTCAGAGCTTGCATTTGCTTACCTCTGTCAGACCCTTGGAACTCTTCTTGAAGTTTGTCCCAAGCTTCCTTTGCTGTTGTGCAAGTCATGATTCTGGTGAAGACTTCCTCAGTGACTGCAGCATGGATGCAGGTAAGAGCTCTGTGGGGTTTAGCTACCTCTTCAGCATATCTGGTTTGCTGATTTAGAGAAGCATTTGCTGGAAGTGGATCCACCACTCTTCCATTCACAGGCTCCCAGATGTCATTCCCTTGCATGAATGACTTCATCTTAACAACCCAGATCTGGTAGTTTTTACCATTGAAGACTGGGGGTGAGGTCAGAGAGAGGCCAGTTGAAGTCATTTCTGAGTAACTTGCAACTGGCAGAGGCCAAGAAAAAGAAGAAGAAGAACACTCATCCCTCACAAAGCCTCACTGATTCACTCCAAAGAAAAAACCTCACGATCCCTTTCAAAGATCAAGAGGGCTCTGATACCACGTGTAGTTTATACACAATGTTTGTAATTTCCAGCAACACAAACTGCAGAAATGCAATGTAACAGTGTAAACCAGAAAAAACAGAATGGTAGAAGAACAGTTTTTGAACACAAACAGTGGCTGAGCTCCAGTGCATCAGATCCACTTTTCCATTTCATTTTTTGATCTGTTCTCACACATTACACCAAAATGAAGAGGCATCAACCTTTTAAAGGCTCAACAACAAATCCTAGGTTGATCTGCAACTACTAAAACAAACAAACGAAAGCTTAAAGACAAAACCAAGTGCAAGAGTACTTTCAATGTTCCCTAGAAACAAAACAAGAAGAGGCATTGGCAAACATGCCCTTCACAGTGGTCTCTAAACATCCTTAGCTTCAATCCAAAGTTGCAGAAAGTCCAAAACATCTTCCAGCTGGTTCCATCTTCATCTTCATATCTTTCTTGCAAGCTTTCTCTGTTTTCTCTGTTTATCCAGCAGCACTCTTCATTTCTTGTGCTCCAAGGCACAGATAGGTTGAGAGGGAATCACCCAGTGACATATTGCAACAGTCTGTTTAGGGTCGTCCTGCGTGCCCATTCCTGATTGTTTGGATTTTTTGAAAATAAAATTAATAGTTAAGAAATATTGTATTTATTTTGACTAATCTCTTAGTTTATTAACGAGTGTGTAATCCATATATTTAAGCTATAGCTAGCTACCGTTCTCGGTTATGTAAATAACAGGATCTCCATATGTTTCTTTGGTGTACTCCAAAAGCAGTCGGAGCCCGTCAGGATACATAAACTGCCAGAAGGAACCTGTTCACCAATAAGGACTCCATCTTTCTCAGCTGTTGAAACACGTAAGATCATTGCTTCAGAATATACTTAATGCACATTTTCATGCGGGAAGGAATTGAAGGAGTAGTACAACGCCGTACGAGTGCTAATGGCGCGGGAGTCGAGAGTGTATCGGAGGTGCACCGGGTCGAACTCGGTGTTGTTCTTGACGTAGTACGTGGTGTAATAGTTGAGGCCAAGATAATCGTACGAGTTCTTGAGCATGTCGAGATCCGACTAGATCCACCATGTTCCTTGGGTAGTGACCGAAGGTAATAGGATCCATGTACCAGCCGTACATGAAGTCCAGAGCTCTCTGCGCAGCATCGACGTCTGCCGTTTCACTGGAGTAAGGAAGAAGATAGAACGTGACTATGGTGATCCCTACCACCCCTTGTTGCTTTTCCTGCATTAATTTTTTGCAGGTGATCACAGTTACAAAAGGGCAGAAAAAGAAACGTGTAAGAAATCAAGGTTAAGCTAGCTAGTAGACTATACCTACCTTGTACTTGCTCTCGTACAAACGGTAACCAGCAGCATGAGCAAGAAGGAGGTTGTGGGTGACGATGTAAGGTTCGGTTGCGGAGTCGCCGGCTAAACAGGCTTGGTTAGCCCATACGGAGCAGCGGCCAGGCGCGTGCAGATCTTCGTCGTAGCCTCTCATAGGGGTGGGCATTGGTGCGGTCGGACCGCACCGAACCGCATATGCGGTCAAACCGAATCGCACCGTTAAACTTGCGGTCCACTATGAGGTTCGCGGTTTGCAGTCGGTTTACACCGAAACCGCGCGGTTGCGGTTCAAAACCGCAAACCACGGACATTCCAAATTTTCCAAGCCCAACCCTTTCCCTCTAACTGAGTGCAATATGATACTCATTAGGATGATTGCATCCAACGCATGTTCAATGGCTTATTTCCAGGGCAGTGTGCTCTATTTCAATAGTCTGCTCTGTTTTATCAGTTTTACATTCTAACATGCATCAGTGCATCTCATTGCTTTTCATGTGAAATTAAAAAAAAAAACACCTGCAACACAGTGGAATCAAAGAGAATGAAAATGGAACAGTGTTGGGGAAGGTGTTTACTTTTCATGTTTTTCACCGTAACATGTTTCCACCATTACCACCAAGGGTCCATCATTCTATTTTTACTTTCTTCGAGTGAAGGAAAAAAAATTCAGAGAGAGATAGAAATGGGAACAAAAGTAATCGAGTGATGGGCAGAAGCAAATGGGCGCTCTCTCTCTTTCCCTAATTCAGTAGCAGTAGGGAAGGAAATGCTCTGTTTCGGTGGCGGGAGAAACAGAGTCCAGTTCAATTCTTTGCGGCAGTAGTCATGAGTAGTGATGTTATTTAATCAAGTATAATTCATAAATGAATTGCGGTCAAATATGCGATGCGGTTTAAACCGCACCAAATCGCTAAATTATGCGGTTTGGTTGGACCTCACCAATAACATTGATGTCGAACATGCATGCGATCTAATTGAATGCGGTACGGTGCGGCAATGCAGTTAAAAGCGCGATTCTACCTAAAAGTGGAAAAGGGGTAAAATTGTAAAACGTAGAATCAAAGCGTAAAAACGTAAGTTTTTGACGCATAGTATAAAATAACTAAAAATCTGTTAAGTACGACATAGACTATGTAAAATATGAGTGCAAAGAATTTAGATAAGTTAATAAATACCTGCAATTCATGTCTAAAGTAGAAAAACTCATAGCATCTTAACAATAAGTTCATAAACATAGATATTAACAATAAGCCACCGCCTCCTCTATGCTAATGAATTTGGGAACTCGTCAACTAGATTACTCTATTGAAACTGAGAATGCATCCAAGACCTTCTTTGTATCTTTTAATATCAAATATATCATATTGTTGATAATTTACCTTTAAAATATACTTTTTATAATTAATTTCATGAAAAGAATACAAATTTAGTGAACTAAAAGCGTAAAAACGTAAAGCGTTTTGGTGAGCTAGAAGCATAAAAGCGTAAGGTTTTAAGCTTTAAAATGCAATTTAGTCCGATTTTACACACTAAAGATTTTATATGGAAACGAAAGCATTTTGGTGAACTAGAAGCGTAAAATCGTAAGTTTTTAAATTTTAAAGCGCGATTTTGACTGCATTGCGGTGCGGACGTGCGGTTTATATCAATACGGTGCGATTCGGTTCAAACCTCACCGATGCCCACCCCTAGCCTCTCATCACGTAGGTGACTGGCTCGTTCAAGGTGATCCACTTCTTTATCCTGAAACAAGAAGTTGATGGAACCGCGTCCACGTCCAGACCCCAGCCCATGCAGAGGAGGACGTCCGAGCGACAGCCCAAGCCCAGTAGTCGTTATGACGATTATTATTAATTAATTATTGTTAGTACGTTACGGATTATGAGTTCGGATTATTTGTACGCAAATATTATTTATATGACGAAGTGGAATAGAGAAGGTATCAATTTTACCCCAAACAAACCCTAAAGGCTTCTTTCTGCGCCTAGCAGGAAAACAACCCGAGGAACGTGGGTTACGTTCCCATAAATTGGTATCAGAGCCATGCTGACACACTAAAACACAACATCAAACTGCGACCAAGTATAATCGCAGTACAGGAATGCAGTAAAGTGGCAAGTTCTATTATCAACCCGGGGTCTAGATCTACTGCCTACTCCGTGAATATCTATTATCTAGCCAACTAAGTTAAGTGATTGTTGATTTAAGTAAAAGCAGTAAGAAAGCAGGAAATGGTTCGGTTTTCTGAAGTCAAGGAAGAGTCACTCGGGAATGAGTCCCCCTAGCTCCTTAGTTAGGTCTCAATTGTAATTACCCTGGGTTGATTTACTGTTGATTAAACTGCGGAAGATCCGACAGTAGCTTGGAATCTCTTAAGCTGACCAAGCCCTCTCAGTCCAACTACCAGGCAGGCGACTAACCTTCACCGGGATAGAAAGCTGAGGCTATGAACACAGAACTCCACTACTGGAATTGGATTCCAGTACAAAGCAGCAGATTGACTAACTCTCGTATAACCAATCCACTACTACCGAATGATGAAGCTCTAACAACCTAATCAGATTCTATCTATCTCAGGTTGCAGCAGAAATCAAGAAAAGCTGATCAGACTTCAATTAATTCAATGAATCATGCATCATTCGATTATAATCAAACAATATAACAATCCCAAGTCATTATAATCAAGATCCCTAACACATGGAACTAGGGTTCTTCTACCCAAGTGAGAGAAAGTTCTACTCCATAGAGAGAGAGAGGGGAAAACAGAACACAAAGCAGTCATACTCATAACTATGGGAAGAATCTGCTATGGGATGATGATTTTCACTCCTATTATGATCTCCAAGCTCGATTTGATGAAACCCAGCTCCAAGATTGCTTCTAGGATGTGTTCTTCGCACTTTCTCTCTCTAGGGCTCTGTTTTTACTCCAAAAGTCGATTCCCTCTCCTTTTGCTCAAAATTGGGTTAAAACTTAGATTTTCTCGATCACACGGCCAGGCCACACTGCCGTGTGGCTTACCCAGCTGCCCGTGTGAGTGCCAAAACGCGGCGTTTTGAATAAATGGACTTCAGGCTACCTACACGGCCAAGGACACACGGAAGGCTCGCTAAATCCCACACGGCCACATTGGTTCTTTGCACGGCCGTGTGGGTTTTAGGAGTGCCCGTGTGGCTTCCTCAGCTTCTCGCCACACGTCCGATCTTCGTCCAATCGACGCCGAACTCGTTCCGAAACCTTCATTCACGTACTAGGACCTGAAATATCACAAACAAGAACAACCTAGCGTGAAATCGGCTTAAAACACGAGAATCAACATCTCAAACGGTGTAAGAATAGGGGTAAAAACATGTGCAATTAACGGTCTATCAAACTCCCCCACACTTAACCGTTTGCTTGTCCCCAAGCAAACCAAGTCAGACACAAGGTAAGCTCACATATTTCAATCATACCAACATTGGGGACAAATCATATAGGCACAGAACACGGGAATCGTACTGGCTTTCAACATCAACACATGAACAACTTCAAAAGCAACCTGGACAACCACCACAGAGGACATTCGAGTGCAGCAAAATCGAGTAAAGGAGGAGTCTCCCTTCTGTTCATCAACCAACATAGACTTGACTCAACCACTTACTCAAAACAGTAACCTCATGCACAAAAATCAAGATATCAGAATAGAGACCGAGCAATCTAGGTTCTCACCGGGGTACAAGAGTATAGAGAATATGAGAAAATGAACCGCTCACTCTCGACCAGTGGGGTCAGGACAATTTGATGCGAAAAATGCGCATGCTTATTCTCTCAATCCCTAACATCTCTTCACTATGACAGCAGCCTCTAAATGCTAGAGTTCACATATGGGGTGTCACCACTAACTAATCCGGAGGTCTTAGACATAGGTTCAAATGACTAGCTAGGGTCTTGGACATGGGGAAAAAGCCTTTTAGGTGGTGGAAGTATTCATATCACAAGGTTCCACAGTTCCAACCCAACACAATCTCAGTCAATCAAACCACTTACTTTCTTTCTACCATTCTGCATTACTCGAATTCTTGCACAAGAGCGAAGGAGGTCACATCCTCGGGCTCGACATCCTCCGGATCCTCCGGATCCTCCGGCTGGCCCTCCGCTGGGATCTGAGGTTGAGGAAACCCCGCGATCCACTTGATGCCGCGCTCCTCTCGCAGTGGGTGCATGCTCTTGATCATCTCTTCGCCAAAGGCACTGGTGTTCCCCTGCTCTATGCAACCCTGCAGGGATATCTGGAAGTCGGCGGCCAGGCGGGTGATGAGGGGAGTGCAGTGGAGGCTCTTCAATTCTACAACACTCTTCTCAAAGGTTCTGGCCACCACAGAACCCAAGTGGAGAGGATGGTCCTCCTGGCGGATGGACTGGATGAAGTACAGGCCTTTCCTGGTGATGGTGCTGGCACTTTCCCCAGCTGGAGTGCATGACTTCGCCAGCAAGTGGTGGAGAATGCGGTTATCGAGCTGCAGAGTGCTGGCCTTCGTCCGCCCTGCCACGAATGGATGCTGGCCTGGCTGAGCTAGGCGGGTGTACATCGTCTTGAAGTTCACGCCCACCGGATCGTTGAGCTCGGTGACGTAGTCCTCACCATCGGTCAGGCCGAGGTCGAGAGCGGTTGCCAACTCGTGGTAGCTCATGGAGCGGGGTACACCGCCGAGTCTGAACTTGACGGCTTCACCGTCTGCCCAATCCTCTGTGGATGCGTGCTTGAAGGTCGTATAGAACTCAAGCACGGGCTCGTGGTAAACCTTCTCGCGGATGGATAGCAGACGGCGCCAAGGGCGGTTGGTGACAATGGCGGAGAAGTGCTCGTATCAGTGTAGCTTCTCAAACTCCCGCCTGGACCAGCAATGGTGCTGCCCAAACGAGCATGCTAGGACGTGCTTAAAACGATCCTGGTGGGGGCCCCTCTTCAAATCCCGGATGAACGGGTGCTTGAGGTCGGGTTTCGTCATGGTCCTGCAAAAGAACAACCCAAAGTGGAGCCAAAAGAGCCAAAGAAAAGGTTAATCACACCCCCACACTTGAGAACAGAAAACAGCCGAACCA